ATGTTGAGCTCTATGATTTTGCAAAAGTCCGACCACTAATCAAGAAAAAGCAAGTTAAGGTATGACGATTTCTATGAATTATGTTAAGCAAATATCTGCCTTTATGACCAACATTAACAAGCTATTTAGAGTGTGATGTTCAATCTGACTCGTATGATTAAGCAGTGGAGCTTTTAAGTTTGGCATGGCTAAACTACTTTCCATAAAAGCACCTGTTTTAGTTATGTTTAATTGGTAATGAAACAGATTGAATCGTTAGGTACTACAAAATCAATCAAGAACATCAGCAACAACTTTTGAGATTTTTTGGGGTTAAAAAAACACCTTATATGCTAGACAAGAAATAAGGGCTACCACTTTGTTCACAGATGTCGCCAAAATCCACACAAACTAAAAGGAGCATTAACCCAACTGTAGTAGACAAAACTACAAATGATAGTGATTCTGATTGGCTATCATTTGTCTTACTGTCACTACCAGTTTGATTATTAGATTGCAGAATGAGCAGCTATGTAAGCTCTGAACTCTACAACACAGTAGAGCCCTGTATTGTATTGAAGAGACAGCATTATTAAAATGTGGCTGTGTCTTGTCTTCCTGTAGGTACCAGCTGGACTGGCGGGATACAAGCCTGAATCATTCAACAAGTTCCTTGCCCTGTACCTGCACGGAGCTGTGTAGGATTACTTGCAGTGCGATGTTTCCAGTAATGATTTATGTGTGTGTGTGTGTCTGTGAATTTGTATAGACACACTCTGAGCAGTGGGGTATAAATTATAAAAAATGTGTTTGTAAAGGTGTCACTTGCCAGGAATATTTACCTTTCTTTAAAAACAGACAATTTCTAAAAACTTATTTGACATACTCACTGTGTCTTTTTGTTGTTTTTCTTCTTTTTAAGCCCATTAAAAAGTCTCCATCATTTTGGAAACAACCTGGAGTGGCCTTCTGATTGTTGTGATGTACTGGTCAGCACATTTCAAATAAAGAAGAGCTTGTATCCCCACCAGTCAGATAGTCATCCTTTGAGTTATTATAACACATTTGTTCTCCCTTTTGAGGGAACTAGAGCAAAAGGGTCCATATAGAATATCTGAGGTCTTCAAAGTTGCTGAATAATCGATTTCTAACGCTCTTACAAGTGTATAGAAATGAATGAAAATATAACAGAAATATTTTTGGTATATAGTCAGAGCAGGTCCAGGGAGCAGTCTAATAAAAATACCTTGGGGATAACACTTAAATCAGTGTAGTGATGAAAGATATGTATGGCTTAAGTAAGAACTTAAACAGTTGACTGTTAATTAGCTTTCCCTTTCTTTCTTTGTCAGGTCAGCATTAAACCACTCAAGCAATTTTTTCCCCTGCGATGTGTTTTAATCAGTCAACCCGAGCCACCCAATGTTTCAAGTCAAATAACTATAATAATGAGACAAACTGAGCTTAGTTATCGACAATTCTGTTTGCAGTCTTGAGCTGAAAATACATCTTTCTAAGCCTTACATTGTTTTATTAAGTGCAGTGTTTCTCCTAGGTTTACAGCTTTGGGGGGTGGGGAGGTGCGGGCAGACGGACGCCGACACAAACACTTGAAGGGATCTTGGTGTTCATGCGTTACTTTTAATGACAGCTCCTGTTCTATCGGAAAGGTATCCTTAAATGACTTCTTTCCCTGATTTCTGACTCTATCCTCTATCCTATCTCTACAATAAAGGCACAAAAAGCCCCAAAAAGAATCTTAAATCTTAAAATAATAATAGGGTTAGGGATGTTTTTTTTTAAATTACCTTGAACTTTAAGGGGGGCGGGGTGGGGGGCAGGCCACCCCCCTAATATAATGGTAGGGGAAACACTGAAGTGGTTTACTGATTTGAATACCCCTTTGTTTGTTTTGGAGCACGTGAGAACAATGAACACCGAGGAGCAGCAGAGAAACGCTGACTTTCTATCATGAAACTTTTTTTGGTAATATCTAGGTTTTACTTACAAAACAATGCATGTTGGATCCACACAAAAAGTGCAGGTATCCACAAAATTGAAAATGGCGTGCATCAAAACAATTCAATAAACATGAAAAAAAAAAGATTGGTTAAAATGTAACTAATATATTTAGTTTATATATTATATATTTGAAATACTTTATTAATCCCTGAGGGAAATTCTGGTTTACACTCGGGTTACTTTAGAGACATGCTTCTCACACACACATGCACAAACAGGACACAGATGTTTGTTGCTGTGTTAAGCTTCTCATACTTGTAGATGATGAAGAGGACAAGTCCATTGCCAAAGTAACTCAACAGGAAGTTGACATAGTAGAAAATAGGTGTAACACTTGCAGCAAACTCATTGACAGCCTCTTTTGAACAGAGCTGGACAGCATTACTGACCACATAAGTGGGATCTGTCATGTCATAGGTGGTATTGAAAAGCTCCAAGAAGAGTCCATATTGGTATCCATCATCGTTCATGGTTGGGGTTTGGCCTGTGGCACAAAGAAATAAAAATTCCATGTTAGTCTGTTGGCTGGTTAAAACACCACTCAGAGTCATTAAAGGCTGTATATGTGATTTTTTGATCCAGCAGATGTCGCCCTTGAGCACCAGCATGAACCCAAAATAACTTGCGCTGCATTGTTGTGTTAGCATGCTAATGCTAGCGATCTTTATTATGCTCGTATCTTTACACTGCATGTAAATGTACCTGAAATGAGCGTGATCTAGAAACACAGTTAAGCAGTGAGTACAGTATGTTATTCTTCTTTTCTCTAGTCCCTCAATTAAATAACTGAGGGGAGGAGTCAGCCGCCGTCTGGGAGATGTAAACAAACTGAAGATAGGACTCTGAAAGCTCTGAAAACATCACAGACAGTGGGACTTGGGTGTAGTCATTGTAGACAGTCATGACCAGACTCATAAAAAGCCTTTAAACTTTCCATATCTGTGAACGTCTGCTTCAAACTGACACAAGTAAAGGTTGTGCTGTGGACTGCCAACCCTAGGGATCTCAGCCATTTTATCTGTAAGATAAAATCTACAGCTTTTCCGTTTGCAACTGCAGTTTGACTGTTTATAATTACTGTACTGTAGGTTTAGAGTCAGATGATCACTAACATCAGACAGTGTCTATATCAAACAGCACAAAGAAATACAACTTTTAAAAACAAGTTTATATGTGTTAGGTAGGATCATTTGTGAGGCAGATGCAAATGTATGCCAAAATGAGCAAAAAATGTACGGGGCTACCTAGGTAGCACAAATATCCACCATGGGGCCTCTCCTTGGTACATCACTTTTTGTTTAGAGTCTAGAAATTACTTAAAGGGCACAGAAACATTTAGACTAACATCATGGATGCAGCATAACTGCATCAAAGCAAACATTGCAAAAATTAAATGAAAATCAAGTTTAGAAGTCAAGAACTATATTCCTGGAGGCCAGACCCTCCCGTCTGAACTAAAGCAAACAAAAATGCACTGGCTAAAGCTATTCAACAAGGATACTTTAGAGAAGTGGCACCCAAACGTTTTCTGCCGGCCCCCTTTGGCAGATTTAAATATTTTCAAGCCCCCCCAACCCCTCAACATACACATAGACACATAAACTTATATTGATCAACTAACAAGTGGCTTTTAAAGAAGAAGCAATTAAAAGTGATACTGCAAAATAAAACTTCCACACTTTAAAAATGTCACAACACCCGGTCATGAATCACTGCTTTAGAGAAGTTTTTTAATTAAAACAAAAGCTGACTCTTTCAAAGATGAACAGTAAGGTTTATCCACTAAGAATAACTCTTTTCCAAGAAGCACCAAGCTGTGTTTTGAAACATATGTAATAGAGAACAGAAAGTGCTGACAGAAGCAGTAAAAAAGTTCTGACTCTTAAAGTGTTTGCAATACTTGCTCCCTATAGGGATAGGGAGCAAGGGGGTTGGGGGAGGCAGACCGTCCATCAACAATCCGGTGGGGGGGGTTGTTCTGGCAGGCAAACCTGTCACAGAAACCTGTGACAAAGTTTCTATAACCTTGAACAACAATATTAAAACATAATAGAATAATCTCAAACAAAACATAATTATTGATGTTGTCTTCTGCAATGTGGTACATTTAAATATTTCCATGTGCCAACATGCAGTTTGCAATGATAGTAAACCCCTCTGCTTAATGTTAAAGTTTTCTTACATTAGCCTATATATCCATGTGTTGAGTTATAGTGATGTCTGCAAAATTAGTCCGGCACACTGGAGGTCTCATTTGAAGAAATCCGGCCCCGACCCAAGAGGACTTTGACACCCCTGACATAGAGCTATTTCTTTCAGATGCAGAGTGACCTGGGTGATGGGGCCGGATTCACAACATTTTGTTGTTGTCAAGATAAAACTTAAATAGTTAGGAAGTTCTTACAAATGTTTTTAAGTGTAATTCCTGTAGAGCAGTGTCATTTCTGAAGAACTTCTTCATTTTCTTACTTAAGAACTTCTTCATTTTCTTACTTAAAACCTTCTCAGATGCTATAGGGCAGGTATATATAATCCTATACATTGGGTGTAACATCATTGACTAAAGGACTGAAATGTTATTCCAATACATTATCATAAGCATGTTAGTCAAAATTATTGCTGTAGAAGAAATTGGGAATTTTTTTTATTGACAACTATATTTATGATTTACTTAAATAAACAAGTTTGAGTAAAGGAAACAATTTTAACATTACTTAGTTTCTTTGGGTAAATTCAAATTATATTAAAATTAAATGTCAATTGTGCTATAGCTTCTTTTCAGGAGTAGCAGAGACATGATACTTACACCAAAAACACAAGTCTTTGTAGACTATAGATTGTTTGTACTTATTAAAGTGCTGTTTTTAAAATATACTAAGTTAGTTCAATCTTGTGTTCATAGACTGGACGTAGTCTCAGTGATATCAACCATTGGTAGCCTATTTGGTAAAATTGTAAAAATCACAACGAATCTTGATAATTGAATATAATACAAGCAGTTACATTTAAAAAATGTTTTTTATTTAGGAAGAAAAAATTTTAAATCGTACAACAGACTGTAAAATAAAAAAGCTGCATGATTTCAATAACAGTTTTACCCCGCCCCCCAACATATCACTTCAATGTTACAAACACAACATTAAAATCTTTCTGTCCCAACAAGTTTGCTCTAATCTACAAAAACAATATTTTCCTTTTTAATTTTCCCCTTGTTGAAGCTGAACGTGTAACAGAAACTGTTCCTTTAGATGTGTGTGAGAGAATCAGAGTCAGTCAAAGAAAACAACAAACAGGGAGCGTTTGGGAACTCCAGTTTGTGTATGGAACACAATGTAACTGATTCATTTGTTATTATTTAACAGCTACAGACTACAGCAGGATGTAACATTAAGTTTTTGATGCATCCAGCAGTTTATACCTGCATGATAAAGCAGACACAATGAAAAGGCAAAGCAGCGTTTCAAACAAATTATTCATACTCATTGAAATATCAATGCTTCCCATTTCTGCATGTAAGTCGACAAAAATTGTTTTTTGTAAAATAAAATATTTGAGGGGCGCTGGTGGCGCGGTGGTTGGTGCACACCCCATTTGTGGAGGCTGTGGTCCTCCAGGTGGGCGGCCCAGGTTCAAGTCCAGCCTGTGGCTCCTTTTACGCATGTCATTGCCCACTCTCTCTCTTCCTGATTTCCAACTCTATCCACTGTCCTATCTCTCTAATAAAGGCACAAAAATCCCCCAAAAAAATTAAAAGAAAAGAAGTTGAGTAACAAAAAATAATCATGACTTTTTCTATACGTGTGTGTGCTCGTTGGTTTATTGATCCCTTCATCTAGTACTCATGAGCAGAGTGTGGTGTCCTCTGTGATGTGGTTCTTGTGCTCTGGCTGCTTATGCTCATGTGTCTCTTCAGACAAGGTATCTTCTTTGTTATTAGCCTCCTGAAGTGACTCTGGAACTTCTTTCCCAGAAAAGTGTAAAACATAGGACTAATGCAACAATACAAATATGCTATGTTTCGGGTCAAATACAGCGCATAGTCCAAGCTTTCCATGTCAGAACACGAGTCAGCATTCTCACTCTTTCTGGTGATCTTAATAGCTCGAAGGAGGATGACTATATTGTAGGGTGTCCAGCAGGCAAAGAAGGTGAAGATAATGACAAATATGAGTTTGATGGCGCGACACTTTTCCTTCATGCGGGTGGACAGGATGCGTACAGCGATGCTAATGTAGCAGAACATCACCATGAACAGAGGCAGGAGGAAGAAAAGAAGGAACTGTTGGTAATAACTGACCAGGCGCCAGCGCTCCATTGTGCTCTCAGGAAATCCTGACTCTTCACACATTAGTCCATTTATCGGACTCTTCCACACATTTTGCAGAACTAGCTCTTTCACACTTGCTGCAATACTGACGCACCAAACCATCACTGATGCAATTATGGCGTAGGACTTCTTCCTGCTCTTGGCAGCAGCCACTGCATGCACCACTGCGAGATATCGGTCAAACGTCATAAGTGTGAGGAAGAGGATGGAGCTGTAGAAACCGATGAAGTAGGCGCTGCTGACCATCTTACACAGAGCCAAGCCAAAAATCCACTCAGACACGTGGTATTTTGCCCAGAAGGGAAGACTTGAGGCAAACAGGATGTTGGATAGGACCAAATTCAGGAGGAAGATGTTTGTTGCTGTGTTAAGCTTCTCATACTTGTAGATGATGAAGAGGACAAGTCCATTGCCAAAGTAACTCAACAGGAAGTTGACATAGTAGAAAATAGGTGTAACACTTGCAGCAAACTCATTGACAGCCTCTTTTGAACAGAGCTGGACAGCATTACTGACCACATAAGTGGGATCTGTCATGTCATAGGTGGTATTGAAAAGCTCCAAGAAGAGTCCATATTGGTATCCATCATCGTTCATGGTTGGGGTTTGGCCTGTGGCACAAAGAAATAAAAATTCCATGTTAGTCTGTTGGCTGGTTAAAACACCACTCAGAGTCATTAAAGGCTGTATATGTGATTTTTTGATCCAGCAGATGTCGCCCTTGAGCACCAGCATGAACCCAAAATAACTTGCGCTGCATTGTTGTGTTAGCATGCTAATGCTAGCGATCTTTATTATGCTCGTATCTTCACACTGCATGTAAATGTACCTGAAATGAGCGTGATCTAGAAACACAGTAAAGCAGTGAGTACAGTATGTTATTCTTCTTTTCTCTAGTCCCTCAATTAAATAACTGAGGGGAGGAGTCAGCCGCCGTCTGGGAGATGTAAACAAACTGAAGATAGGACTCTGAAAGCTCTGAAAACATCACAGACAGTGGGACTTGGGTGTAAACACCCATTGTAGACAGTCATGACCAGACTCATAAAAAGCCTTTAAACTTTCCATATCTGTGAACGTCTGCTTCAAACTGACACAAGTAAAGGTTGTGCTGTGGACTGCCAACCCTAGGGATCTCAGCCATTTTATCTGTAAGATAAAATCTACAGCTTTTCCTTTTGCAACTGCAGTTTGACTGTTTATAATTACTGTACTGTAGGTTTAGAGTCAGATGATCACTAACATCAGACAGTGTCTATATCAAACAGCACAAAGAAATACAACTTTTAAAAACAAGTTTATATGTGTTAGGTAGGATCATTTGTGAGGCAGATGCAAATGTATGCCAAAATGAGCAAAAAATGTACGGGGCTACCTAGGTAGCACAAATATCCACCATGGGGCCTCTCCTTGGTACATCACTTTTTGTTTAGAGTCTAGAAATTACTTAAAGGGCACAGAAACATTTAGACTAACATCATGGATGCAGCATAACTGCATCAAAGCAAACATTGCAAAAATTAAATGAAAATCAAGTTTAGAAGTCAAGAACTATATTCCTGGAGGCCAGACCCTCCCGTCTGAACTAAAGCAAACAAAAATGCACTGGCTAAAGCTATTCAACAAGGATACTTTAGAGAAGTGGCACCCAAACGTTTTCTGCCGGCCCCCTTTGGCAGATTTAAATATTTTCAAGCCCCCCCAACCCCTCAACATACACATAGACACATAAACTTATATTGATCAACTAACAAGTGGCTTTTAAAGAAGAAGCAATTAAAAGTGATACTGCAAAATAAAACTTCCACACTTTAAAAATGTCACAACACCCGGTCATGAATCACTGCTTTAGAGAAGTTTTTTAATTAAAACAAAAGCTGACTCTTTCAAAGATGAACAGTAAGGTTTATCCACTAAGAATAACTCTTTTCCAAGAAGCACCAAGCTGTGTTTTGAAACATATGTAATAGAGAACAGAAAGTGCTGACAGAAGCAGTAAAAAAGTTCTGACTCTTAAAGTGTTTGCAATACTTGTTCCCAGAAATGTGTCATCATCAGTTTCTGAGGTTTAACTTTTTCTTGACTCTGAGCTTCAAAGTATGCAAACTCAACACAAAGACTCAAAGACTTCAACTTGCCAGAGATTAAACCATGCTGCTGGTATTGGTTATTATAAGCAAGCATTTAGCAGCACGCAGAGAATATTTCCATGTCATTGTTTAACGTTACTCAAAAGTTCTAATCATTTTTAAAAACAAATAATATGATGTTTCAGTTTCAAAAGATGTTTGAAATGTAATGTAAGATGTAAGCTTAACACATAACATTTTGTATACAGCAATTTGTGATTTTTTAAGGATAATAAAAGGTCTACTCGTTACAAAAGAGTTACACACTATTATTGATACATACATCAATTTACATTGATCAGACTCTAGTTTGAGTTAGGTTAATGCGACAACAACTTGACTTCATGTAATTCTACATAGTTCAAAAAGTAGAGTTCTTCACTTACAAATGAAAGGAATGACTTATGAGTTGTTCTTGTATTTTTTGTGGCTTAGTACAATATTATTGAGCTAGCTACTTGCACTTATTTTCATCATGCAAAAGATAAACATAATCAACATATTTCAAAGCAAGAATAAACCATCAAACAACCCATAAAGTTGAACATACATTCCTGAATAAACAAATAAGCAAATCTCTTACCTTGGCTCTCAGTCATTAGGCCTGATTAACAGAGCAGTGCAGATCTACAGGTTTGAAAGGAAAGAGGATGATGAGTAGCAGTAGAGAAGTACAAAGTGACTTAAGTGTTGAAAATGAAAAGTATAAAAAAAAAGGCCAGCATCAGCTCAAAGGGTTGTCCTTAGACAGACCAATGTGCTGTAGTTTGTGTTGGCAGTGGGCGTTCATTCAGGCAAAAACTTCAACTGTATTTGCATTGGTGTTAAATATCAGGACTGTGTCATTATACTAAATAAATGTAAGGTTTTGAAACCTGACTAATACTGTGCACAAAGTGATTTGAATGCATATGCCCTGTCCAAATGTTTAAATAATGAGACATATGTGTGTTTGTGAATGCATTTAAAATGTAGCATATATGGATCAGTTCACTGTGCACAACAGCCTTTTGGACCTGTTTCATGTGTATCTGACCTCATTGTACAGACAACATTAGACAAGACGAGCGTTCGTCTTGTCTGATGTTGTCTGTACAATGAGGTCAGATACACACATATATGAACACACATAGTAACCAACATTATATTAGAATGTGAAGGTATGAATAACAAGTTCTCACAAATGCTTTTATTCAAATCACTAAATAAAAATGCTTTGAGTAGGGGCGCGCTGGTGGCGCAATGGTTAGGGCGCGCGTCCCATGTTTTGAGACTCTCGTCTCGAGCGGTATGCCCAGGTTCGCTTCCACCTGTGGCCCCCCTCCGCATGTCATTCCCCGCTCTCTCTCCCTGGTTTCCGACTCTATCCACTGTCCTCTCTCTGCATTAAAGGCACGAAGAGCCCAAAATAAATCTTTAAAAAAAAAAAATAATAATAATAATAATACTTTGAGTATGCACTATAGCCTATCAATTACAAAAAGAAAAATACAATGCACCTCAGCACCCCCAACTTGAAGCCTCTTCCTACTGCTCTGAGGACAGCTGGAGAGAAAGGAAAGTTAGGGCGGAGATAGCGGACGATGACATGCACCAACTGATAGCTGATCATGAGACAAGCCTGAAACCAGTGTGAAGAGTACTATAGCCTCTGTACATGGGGTGCCTGCTCTACCAACAGACCTAAACTGAGGCCATAAACTGAATTGGTCAGTTTGATGTGAATAATGAGTCAAGTTAAGTCAAGTCACATTTATTTATGAAGCACATTTAAAAACAGCAGAAGCTGACCAGAGTGCTGTACAATGCAAATAAAAATTCAATTTACAGGAGTTCATAATATCCACAAGAACGAAGAAACAACAATAACGAAAGCAACAAAGGAAACCTGAGAGAAACGGCCTATTCAGGACCAAATGCTAATATATGAAATACGTTTTAAGACGTAACTTGAAATAGTCAACGAAGGGTGCTGTAGGGCCTTTGACTTCAAAAGCACGATCACCTTTGAGCTTGAGCTTGAGTCGTTTTTTGTTTGTTATCAATGAAATGTCATTAAAAAAGAACATCAAGGTGAACCAAGGTTTTTCACAACTATTGATTTTTATTTATTTTACCTTTATTAGAAATTTAACCCATTCAGGTTAGTTTACACAACACAAGCTGAACACATACAGTAACCATGTTAGTCGAGACAACACATCAGCCCCATTGAACACATCGCCTTCGGGTTGAGAGACGACGACCCTACCAACTGAGCCACAGCCCCAGTCAGACTCTGAATTATCAGAAATGTGATCCTCACATTCTGAAACCTCTTCCTCTACATCATCATCAAAAGCTTCTCTCTCTTCCAAAATCAATTGCAAGGCCCTCTGAGCAGAGAATGTTTTGGCCTTCTTGATCAATTGTGATAAGGAACCACACTGGCAAAGCTATTTATTTATTTATATAGGCTATATATATATATATTTCCGATATGACTATATTGACTATGTAAGTCTGGAAGACACTAATAAACATTTATATGAAAGATAACAGCTAGCTGCTAATATTTGCAGTCAATGCTGCAAAAACGTTTTTCGACCCTGTTTTTTGTTTAACAAGAAAATCCTAGTAGGAGAATAGACTGTGAGTAGGGTTAGGAGCTATAAAGAAAGGAATAGAAGGAAGGAAATCATAATGAGACTTAGGGTAGGTCATACTGGGCTGAATGACACAATGTTTATACTGGGGAAAAGGAACAGTGATGAGTGTGAAAGATGCAGAACTGAGGAAAATGCAGATATTATTACCTTTAATGGGTATGTAAATGAGAGAGACAGTTTGAAAGAGAAAATCAGAGCTACAGGGTGTAGATGGAATATGAGAGGATTATTTTTTTGTTCTTACATTACACAAATTTAAATTCTTGAGAAGGGAAGTCACATGATGTTGCACACTCCTGTACAGTAGGTGGCGGTATGCACCTTTAAGCTGTTTGCCAAAAGAGCCCAGAGAAGAAGAAGAAGAAGAAGAAGAAGAAGACCTCTAGGTACAGAGCGGTAAGCATACAACAGCTATTTTTTTTTATTTTAAACGACAATACAGCTAAATATTACAAGTAATTGATAATAATTAACAAATGATTCTTCAGCTAACAATTCACGAGCTTTGTCCCGCTGCACGTGCTGATCAGTAGTGATGGCGAAATGAGGCTTTGTGAAGCAATCATAGACTGTAAGCAACGAGGCTTTCCAGCCAATTGTATCGAGGCCTCATTTAACACAGTGTACACTAGTGACACCTACTGGTCAAAACAATTTAAAGCAGCCAAATTATTATTGATCACATCACATGCCATTGCATTACTGACATTTGAAGGCAAATTGTACTACTGCGGCAACCAATAAGGATTCACGTGATATTACTTTATGACATACCTTCGTTAATATAATCATATTATCATTCGATGATCTTGTTTTTTTTATGATTTCCTATCAAGATATAGCCTATGAAACAATAATATATATAAATCTATTGTTCAACAAGTTTGAGGACTTATGTTAACTACAAGTCCAGGAAAAAAGGAAGATTGAAAGAAAGAGGGACAACATTATGGGGTTTGATTGGGCAGTAAAAGTGCTTCTGTAGGCTTACTGGGAAGTGAAAGTGAATGTGCTTCAGTGAGAGCAGTGAAATTGAAGGTGCTTTTGTGACTGGGACGAAAAGGGAAGATTTTTTATTAATTTTTATTTAAAAATAAGAGTTGTTTCACAGTGTTTGGGCTCAGTCGATTCCGTTTTTTGGAAACAATTTCCCCAGCCTTGGAGAATACCCTTTCGCATGGTACAGAGGAGGCTGGTGTGCACAAGAATTGTAGTGCCAGCTCGTAGAGGTGGCGGTAGACAGACTTTTGTCTTTTCCAATAAAGCAGTACGTCATCTGATCTTGGGAGGTTTGTTTCGTTGAGGTAGCCCTGGACCTCAATTGTGGCATCAGCGGTGGCATTGCAGCTTCTTCTGCTCTGGTCCACACTGTTGTCCAGCAGGCACCACAGGTTTCCACCTAATAAATGTAGAAAAATATATTATTGCTAGTAATTATACTTCACATGATACGAATATACCAGGACTTGTATGTCAACAACAATTCACAAACTGAGCAGTAAACATAAAAAATGACCAGAGGTTGTTGCAGACCCAGCAGCCTGGGTTGAGGTTGACGGTTGTGCTGGTGTGTCTGATGGCAATGGAGGAACATCTGGCATTTTAATAATGCTGGCGCACTCAGCTTTCAGTCGCCTAACTGCCTCACTGGCCTTTGACTGGCTGAGGAACCCAAGACTTTTGAACCTTGGGTCCAGCATGGTTGCCATTGTCATTATGCTCATGGACTCCACATTAACCAAGATTTCCCTGGCGCGTCTGACCAGGTTTTCATGGGGACAGCACAAGCAGGCACTCTCTAATGGCCTTCTATTCCTGTGCATGAGGCGGGGTGAGGTCTGTATTTAGAGAGGCCAGAGCTGCCCCCACTGGCTCTCTCTGACCATACAGACGCTCAAACATGCTGAAGGTGCTGTTCCAGCGAGTTTCCACCTCCTGTATCATTTTAAGTAATGGTCTTCCCATCTGCTCCTGCACCTGGGTCAGCCTCTCTTTTGCAGTGGTGCTTGTCCTGAAGTATGTCACCATCTTCCTAGATTTGGTGCGCAATTCATTAAGGCCAGGGGTCTGATCAAAAGCCTTTCTTACGATCAAATTTAGGGATTGTGCGATACATATAGCATGCCTCACTTGTAAGATTTTGCCTGTAGCAATCATGTTTGCTGCAGCATCAGTTACAAGGCATCTGACTTTATGCTTAATGCCCCACTCCTCCATGAGGTTGATTTTCACCTGAGCAATGTTCCCTGCAGTGTGGCTATTGGGAAATTTCTCCACTCCCAACAGCACAGTGGCAAGCTTGTCATTCTCATTGATGAAATGACACGTCACGGCAAGGTAGGCGTCCATATTGATGGAAGTCCACATGTCAGACGTGAGACTGACAGCCACCACCTTCTGCACCTGGGCCTTGGCCTTCTCCTTGGTCTTCTCGTACTTAGCAGCCACCATGGCCTTTAAAGCCTGAAGAAGAGAAGTGTATAATTGTCCAATTTAAATAGTTATGTTGTCATCTGCCACACACACACACACACACACACACACACACACACATACATACATACATACATACGCACACCAAGCACTTCACCTTCAAATCAAAATAATAAACCATTGATAATAAACACAGAAAATGATGACAGTGACAGAAATTAAAAACGCTTGAAAAGTAATTCAAGCGATTCAGCACGGTAATACATGAAAGCTTTGTAGCACAATGGTTATGGCGGCGCCACGTCGACATAGAGGCTCGGGTTCGGTTGACACAAGCCTTGATACGGGGCCTCGGCTAGAAATGCCCCTCCTACTCGACACATGCTTCAAAGCCTCGGTGCCAAACGTAACATCACTACACTGATCACTATGGGAGTGAAACTGTCTCATCGCTATTCACAAGCAAATGTTAACTTTCCTAACTCGTAAAATACAATGCACAAATCAATTCAGATTGGCGGCTGTGGCTCAGTTTGTAGAGTAGTCGCCTCTCAACCGGAAGGTCGAGGGTTCGATCCCCAGCTGGGCAACATGTCCGATGTGTCCTTGGGCAAGACACTTAACCCTGAATTGCTCCCGCTGCTTCGGTGGCGGTGTATGAATGGCATTAGTTACTTCTGATGGATGATACTACATAGCGATCATCACTACCATCAGTGTGTGAAAGGGTGTGAATGGGTGGGTGTAAAAGCGCTTTGAGTAGTTGGAAGACTAGAAAAGCGCTATATAAGCTCAAGTCCATTTACCATTTACCATTTCAGACTCCACATGCACACACTAATGCAAAACACAATAACAGTTGTCTATTTTTACAGTCTATGGTTAAAATGCTAAAAGCTGAACTTAAATTAGACTGTGCAAACAGGCAGTTTAGTCTGAAATGTAATCCAAATTTACCTGCAACTATTACTTATTTCTGAAATGTCAAAGGGCTTTCATTTTGAAACGTCATAGCAGATTGTTTTATTTTCTCTTTTCAACCAAGCATCCACTTTCCAAACGATAGACAAACCAGAGACCTGCTACTATGTATAGCTTGTATGAATCTCTGAATTTAAGAATTCAAAGATGAACATACGTTTTTTCAATGCCAAATATTTTTAAAACCTTAACTTTGTGATAACTCATCAAGACGAGTTAAAAAAAAATGACAAGATTATGACAATGTATTTCCTAGAAAAATGTAGAAACATAAAAGGTGAGCTATAAAAGCTTTTAACAGATTCAATGCTATTTCTAACATACCATCTCTTTTAAAGTGAGACATTTTCCATGCTCGTGGTAAGGGTGAAATAGGATGACTCATAATAATCCTGCTACGGCCCTGATTGGAGTATGAAAAAGTGATTTGTCATGTGATAAATGAGATTTGATTCCTATTACGGATCTACTACACAAATCCTTTGTCTTTCAGTGAACATGTTTGGAGCAGTGGTAGTTGGTATTGGCACAGCTGGATGGGTGAGGATTAGAGACATCTTGGCCCCCCTGCCTGGCAGTCCTGCAGAGAAACTGACTATCAGAGGATTCATATCCAGGTAACACACAGCTGCCCAGCTAGAGGAAGGTTAGATTAGAGTCCCTCTGAGGTCATATTCACACCTGCTATCAACATGTGGCTTTAGTTATCTGATGACAAAAGCCTTAAGTACAAATGTAAATGTATCCAGGAAGCATTGAGATCAAATCACTAAGGCCATATTGAAAGGTGTTCTTGGAGGCATATATTCCACATTGGTCTGTGGAGAGTGCTGTGTGTCTGCTAATGCTTAGTCCTTAAGGACTGGGTCCACTCTCTCAGTAGTATCCATGACAACATAGGCGTAGATTAACAGAAGTGTCCTCTCATACATGGTAAAGGAAAGATTTTTCTGCTGTACCTTTCGAAAGTCTTTATGTTTAAATGTCTCATGTCTACGACAGAGGATTAGGGCCATGTTAAAAACATTTAAATTTAAATTTACGAGATTAAACTCGTAACTTTACAAGAATAAAGTCGTAAATTTATGAGATTAAACTCGTAAATTTACGAGAATGAAGTCGTAAATATGAGATTAAAGTCATTAATTTACGTGAATAAACTCGTAAATTAACAAGTTCGAGACCAACCTGCGCAAAATGATGAAAGTAGAACATAGATTTTCCTCTGCAGACAACATCTTCCCAGTCAGTGTGGTTCTTTCTTCAGTTTCTTGATATTTTATGACAATGTTAAGATGATGATGTGCCAAAAGCATGTGTAGTTTCATATCTGCATAAGTAAAGCCCCAACACAACTATTTGTGTCTGTTATCGGTCTGCCTTGTTAAAGTGTCTCATGTGCAGAGACAGTTTGTGTCCTGTTCATCATTTTACAGATAAACAAGGTCTTACAAGTTGAAGTGAAAACTTCTCTTGAACTGTTTTTACCGACTACACAAGGAAGTAGACTATTTCCTTATTAGTGAAACCTCCATGTTTGTCATTTGAGAACAGGATGCTGCTGGTCTTCTGATATAGACTAAAATAACCACTTTATTCTTAAAGAGTTCTACTTTCATCATTTTGCTGCAGGCTGGTCTCGAACTCGTTAATTAACGAGTTTAATCAGGATCCCATGAGGTATTTACATTTATATCCCAACACCCAACACAGAAAACAAGAAAAAAAAAATATATATATATATATATATATATATATATATATATATACACAGTACTGTGCAAAAGTTTTTGGCAGCTGTGAAAAAATGCTGTAAACTAAGACTGCTTTCAAAAATATAAATAATGATTGTTTATTTTTATCAATTTACAAAATGCAAAGTGAGCGAACAAAAGAAAAATCTAAATCACATCAATATTTGGTGTTACTACCCTTTGCCTTCAAACCAGCATCAATTCTTATAGGTACACTTTTGGGATTTTGTAGGATTGTAGTCACGTGTATGATCAACCAGTTATACCAAACAGGTGCTAATGCTCATCAATGTCACATGTAGGTTGAAACACAGTCATTAACTGAAACAGAAACAGCTGTGTAGGAAGCTTAAAACTGGGTGAGGAACAGCCAAACTCTGAGACCAAGGTGAGGTTGTGGAAGACAGTTTCATGTCAAAGGTCATACACTGTGGCAAGACTGAGCACAGCAACAAGACACAAGGTAGTTATACTGCATCAGCAAGGTCTCTCCCAGACAAATATTTCAAAGCAGACTGGTGTTTCAAGATGTGCTGTTCAAGCTCTTTTGAAAAAGCACAAAGAAACAGGCATGGAAACAAGGCCAAGCGACTCAACTATGCACAAAAACATAGGAACTGGGGTGCAGAAAAATGGCAGCAGGTGCTCTGGACTGATGAGTCAAAATTTGAAATATTTGGCTGTAGCAGAAGGCAGTTTGTTTGCCGAAGGGCTGGAGAGCGGTACAATAATGAGTGTCTGCAGGCAACAGTGAAGCATGGTGGAGGTTCCTTGCAAGTTTGGGGCTGGTATCCTCAATGCTGAGAAATACAGGCAGATATTGGATCCATCATGCAATACCATCAGGGAGGCGTATAATTGGCCCCAAATTTATTCTGCAGCAGGACAACGACCCCAAACATACAGCCAAGGTCATTAAGAACTATCTTCAGTGTAAAGAAGAACAAGAAGTCCTTTTAGTGATGGCATGGCCCCCACAGAGCACTGATCTCAACATCATCGAGTGTGTCTGGGATTACATGAAGAGACAGAAGGATTTGAGGAAGCCTACATCCAGAGAAGATCTGTGGTTAGTTCTCCAAGATGTTTGGAACAACCTACCAGCTGAGTTCCTTCAAAAACTGTGTGCTAGTGTACCTAGAAGAATTGATGCTGTCTTGAAGGCAAAGGGTGGTCACACCAAATATTGATTTGATTTAGATTTCTCTTCTGTTCATTCACTGCATTTTGTTAATTGATGAAAATAAACTATTAACACTTACATTTTTGAAAGCATTCTTAGTTTACAGCATTTTTTCATACCTGCCTAAAACTTTTGCACAGTACTGTATATAATTAAGTAAATATAGAAACATGTACATTAATGGCCCATTCATTCATGTCACACAAATCTTAATACATCCACTTTTTGATGCTACTTCTTAGTTCTTTTACCAAGGACAATAAGTTGTCCTTGGTTTATGTTTTTTTGTCAGAACTTATAATGCAACCTAAGTATTTTATCTTTATTATTATTGTAATATTTTTTTCTGGAAATTCCTATATTTCTAATACTTTAAAGAGGTAGGCGCCCACTCCAAACGGTCAAAGGCTTTCTCTGCGTCAACCGCCATCATATTTTTTTCTTTTTAGCATATTGGGTTAACGAAATACAGGCTCTAACATTTGTTTTAAGACTTCTATCTTTACGAGTTTAATCTTGATGTTTTTAACGTGGCCCTAATCCTCCGTCGTACATATCATGGAAAGAGGTTGATAAATGGTTTATGCATTAGAGCTGGATGTGCATGAAAATACAGGACATGTCATGTCTGTATTTATTCAGTAAGGAAGAATGCATTTAATTTATCCAAGGCAGGTTCCTGCCTTTTTACCCACCGTCAATCAATCAATCCTTATTTGTATAGCGGCAACTCACAACAGGTGTTATCTGGAGACACTTTACAAAAAGCAGGTAAAAGACCTTACTCATTAACCTTACCATCAGTTAGAAATTACTTTGGATTCCCTCCAGTGGCACTTGATGTTAGATTGCCACTACACACCCCTTTGGTTGAAGGAATGAATGTTGAATATACAGTAGAGCTTTAGAGTGTTTTTTTGTATTAGACAGTACACCGCCTGCAAAATGGCTTTTTAAAAATACATTATTTTAAAAGAAGAAATTGTTAAACATGGTTTACCTGACTGATGTTTTTGTAAACAGGAGAAGCCTGGACCCTCAGCAGGGGATATGTCAGATCCCAATTCAAGAGGCTTTGAGCAGAGACGACATTCATGTGGCTTTCATCTGCACTGAGAATGCGTTTCATGAAGAGAACATCAGGTAATTTCAGTTTTTACAGCGTACCCAGAACATCCATACATTTACAAATAAACAGAAGACAGGAGTATGTCAGACACCATCTATACATTAGTACATGGACTGAGGAACAAAGAATCAAATAAGATAATACGATTCAGTTTTTTATACCAGGTGTCTACTGTGGAGAGAACAGCCCATTCTATTATTAGTGGTTTAGATGACCTGCTTTTCCCAGAGGAAACGCTATTCTATCTGCTGGGCTCCCATTCTTTATAACAATAATATAAAGGCTAGTCCTGTCCTTCAGACCATCAAAGAATCAAAGAAATCAAAAGTGATGAGACTTACAAAAAATGATCAAAAATTATGTAAGATTCTGTTATAGACTGAATGACCCTTTACAAAACCTGCAGCTGTAACTACCCCCTTTACAAGACCTGCAGCTGGAGCTACCCCCTTTACAAGACCTGCAGCTGTAACTACCCCCTTTACAAGACCTGCAGGTGTAGCTACCCCCTTTACAAGACCTGCAGCTGTAGCTACCCCCTTTACAAGACCTGCAGCTGTAACTACCCCCTTTACAAGACCTGCAGCTACCCCCTTTACAAGACCTGCAGCTACCCCCTTTACAAGACCTGCAGCTGTAACTACCCCCTTTACAAGACCTGCTACCCCCTTTACAAGACCTGCAGCTGTAACTACCCCCTTTACAAGACCTGCAGCTGTAGCTACCCCCTTTACAAGACCTGCAGCTGTAACTACCCCCTTTACAAGACCTGCAGCTGTAACTACCCCCTTTACAAGACCTGCAGCTGGAGCTACCCCCTTTACAAGACCTGCTACCCTCTTTACAAGACCTGCAGCTATAGCTACCCCCTTTACAAGACCTGCAGCTGTAGCCACCCTCTTTACAAGACCTGTAGCTGTAGCCACCCCCTTGACAAGACCTGCAGCTGTAGGTACCCCCTTTACAAGACCTGCTACCCCCTTTACAAGACCTGCAGCTGTAACTACCCCCTTTACAAGACCTGCTACCCCCTTTACAAGACCTGCAGCTGTAACTACCCCTTTACAAGACCTGCAGCTGTAGCTACCCCCTTTACAAGACCTGCAGCTGTAACTACCCCCTTTACAAGACCTGCAGCTGTAACTACCCCCTTTACAAGACCTGCAGCTGTAGGTACCCCCTTTACAAGACCTGCAGCTGTAGCCACCCTCTTTACAAGACCTGTAGCTGTAGCCACCCCCTTTACAAGACCTGTAGCTGTAGCCACCCCCTTGACAAGACCTGCAGCTGTAGGTACCCCCTTTACAAGACCTGCTACCCTCTTTACAAGACCTGCAGCTGTAGCTACCCCCTTTACAAGACCTGCAGCTGGAGCTACCCCCTTTACAAGACCTGCAGCTGTAACTAGGACATTTGACATAACTTAATAAAACCTGCTGTTTTCTCTATGTTAAATAGTTTCAAAACAACAACAACAACATCTGATCAGGAAAATTGCAAAAAGCTGCTCAATTTAAATGTGCAGATTCACTTTAAACCTTAAGAGAAGTCAGAAAATAAAAATCTCAAGAGATTTCGTTTTTTCCAAGTGATGGATATTTCCACCACACCTTTCATAGCTTGAAAGGGAAACTTCAAGGGGTCTAAATGTTTTTACTCTAAGGAGACAGCCTCTTCCTTTCAAATTCTCTTAAAATCTTTCATGCATTAATCTTCAGGTAATTGTCAAGAATCAGCAAACATCTGAAAGGGATTCTCCAGAAGCTTGTACTTTGACAATCGAAGCCTATGAAGATATATTTTTTTTCATAGAAACTAGAGCGAGGGAATTATATGTGCTTTACAAGTCAGCATCATCCACATCATAATGCAGATACGTTGCTTGGGCCTTACTTGTATAATGGTTAATGGAGACCTAGCAAGGCTGCTCTAATGTTGCCATCGCTTAATTGCATTTCTATTTTATTCTTATATATCATTTTTGCCTTGGTTATTTTACTCCCTTTCAACTTCTTTGGAGTCAGCCTCCTTCTCAAGAGGATCACCTGGTTAGAAGGTCTTATTGTTGATCCTCTTGAGAAGGAGGTAACTTAACTCTGTGGTTTGTCATTTGGATAGATAACCTTTTTGATTTAGGATAACAGAGTCCACTCAAAATAAATTATATAAGAATAGACAGTGTCAGAAAGTTTGTCAAAATACTCACAAGCGGTTGGTCTTTATAAAATTATAACATAAAGTATATCATTTAAATATAGGAGATTATCTTTGAATCTGCAAGAGGAGTTAAACTCAAACTGGCCTGTAAGAGAAGCAATTTTTGGGAATGGAATCCAGAATTCCTTCACATAGTGTTATTAAAATTCTTTGACCAACTCTGGACTCTCTTGTATTTTTTAGAGCTTTCCTGCAGGCAGGTAAACACGTCTGTGTTGAGTATCCCATGACCTTGGACTATAAGGCTGCTGAGGAGCTGTGGGATTTTGCCGAGAAAAAGGGTGATTTGACATTTATTAAGTACTTATGTTGACAGTCACTTCTCCAGTCTTCTGACTACTCAAAGCACTTTTACTTTACATGTCACATTCACACCCTGATGGTAGAGGCTGCTGTGTAAAGTGACCATCAATATTAATCCCATCATATACATTCACACACCAGAGACGCAGCAGTGGGAGCATATTGGTGTTAAGTCATTGCCCAAGGACACTTTAACACAGGTCATCAGGAGCTTAGATTGAACCCCTGACCTTCTTGTGAGATGGTCGACTCTACCACTGAGCTACAGCGGTCGTTTCAGTTCTACTGTTGTATGTGCAGGTCAGAGAAATGCTTGTAACAGACCATTCACATTATTTCTGAAATAATACATAATCTAAGCAATGGTTCATCAGTTTGTTTCCCTTAGGGCTGTACAAAGTATTGTTTCATCATCAACACATCATCAGGTGCATGAGTCACACTTGCAATCTCAAGTAAGACAAATGAACTAAAGAAGTTTATAGAGCTTAATATGTAAGGGAGACATGGAGCCAACATGTGTATTTCTTATTTGTTGTGTTATTTCTCTGCACATGACCCTTGGTTAAACTGTATGTTGGTATTCATGAGTTTTATTTAAAGTTTTTTTTTTTTTTCAATAATAGGAGTGATTCTCCATGAGGAACACATCGAGCTGCTATCAGAAGACTACAAAGCTCTTAAGAGAGAGGTAGAGGGCAAAGTCCTGCAAGAAGGAACCCTTCATTTTACTGGTGAGTAATCAGGAGTGTGACTTTTATATTTCCATTTACCTTGAAAAGATATCATAGTTAAGTTTTAGAATATTATGGAAGCCCATTTCCGCCAGTTAGTAAAACAATAAAATTAAAATAATATATTAAATCATAATTATGAGATAAAAAGTCATAATTATGAATTATTTCGACTTTTTATCTCCTAATTATGATTTAATATGGGCACAAAAAAAAATCTCAACAAAGCCAAGTTTTCATTTTTATTCTTTTGGGTAAGGGTTAGAAATGGAAACCCATCAGCTCTCGCATCATCTCAGCAACCTTCAATACCAGCAACAGGAGAGTGAAAGCCCATATAATCCAGTGCTACGCACCCACCAACGCTGCAGATGAGGAGGTCAAGGACAGGTTTTATGACAGTTTAAACCACCTACTCAGTAGTATTGGAGACAGGGACATCATTATCCTAATGGAGGACTTTAATGCCAAGATTGGAGGCCAAAACGAGGGATATGAGACGGTGATGGGTAAACATGGAGTGGGGACCATGAACGAAAATGGCGAGATGTTTGCAGAGACCTGCGTGAACAATAATCTGGTGATTGGGGGGAGTGTATTTCCCCACAAGAAAATCCACAAAACAACCTGGGTGTCAACAGATCATGTCACGGAAAACCAAATCGACCACATCTGCATCAACAAAAAGTTCAGAAGAACTATGGAAGATGTCAGGACAAGACGGGGGGCAGACGCAGCCTCAGATCACCATCTCCTGGTAGGGAAATTCAAGCTAAGGCTGAAGAGATATCAGCGAGAAAAGGGTCAAAGAGCAAAATACAACACTGACTACCTCAGCAATGCTCAAGTGATGAAACAGTTCAAGGATATTCTCTCAAGGAAAAGCGCAGAGATACAGCTCAGAAAGAAGGAAGAATGGACAACGAATGAAGAGTGGGAACACCTTAAAGCTGCTTGGAGCTCAACATGCGAGGAGGCCCTGGGGAGAAGATCAACAAAGACTGAAATAAAAGCTGCAATCAAACATCTGAACACCGGCAAGGCTGCTGGCCCTGACAATATTCCACCTGAAGCCCTTAAAGCTGATATAAACACATCTACAGACATGCTCTACAGCTCCTTTGGGAGAATTTGGGAGGACGAAGAGACACCCATAGAATGGGCAGAGGGTCACATAGTGAAACTACCAAAGAAGGGTGAACTAAGGAAGTGTAACAACTACCGAGGGATTACCCTACTTTCAGTGTCCAGTAAGGTCTTTAATCGGGTCATTCTCAACCATCTCCAGGAAGCTGTGGACAAGAGGCTCCGGGACCAGCAAGCAGGATTCAGGAAAGACCGTTCATGCACAGACCACATAGCAACACTACGCATCGTCATTGAACAGTCTATTGAATGGAACACATCCCTGCACATGAACTTCATTGATTTTGAAAAAGCTTTTGACAGCTTAGACCGGACAACACTGTGGCAATTAATGGAATACTATGGAATCCCCACAAAGATCATAAACCTTATCAAGAAATCTTATGAGGTCACCTTGGGTAAGGTCATGCATGCAGGCCAGCTTTCCCGGAGCTTTGAAGTCAAGACAGGCGTTAAACAGGGATGTCTTCTGTCACCATTCCTCTTCCTTCTTGCTATTGACTGGGTCATGAGGGAAACAACTGAGGGGAAGAGAAATGGAATTCAGTGGACAATGTGGGAGCAGCTGGATGATCTTGAATTTGCGGATGATATAGTTCTCCTTTCCCATACACAGACACAAATGCAAGAGAACACAGACAGACTTTCAGAAACTGCAATAAAACTTGGTCTCACTCCCAATATAACAAAAACTCAAGTGATGAAGATCCACTCCAAAACCAGAAACCCCATCTTCTTGAACAGCACTGCCCTAGAGGAGGTAGAAGCTTTCACCTACCTAGGCAGTGTTGGGGACACCACTGGAGGGACAGAGGCCAACATTAGAAGCAGAATTAACAAGGCTAGAGTGGTGTTTCACATGCTCAGAAAGATCTGGAGCTCAAAAAACATCTCCACAAACACCAAGATACGCATCTTCAACTCCAACGTTAAACAAGTGATGCTGTTTGGATCCGAAACATGGAGAACAACAAAACACACAACACACAGGCTGCAAACATTCATCAACACCTGCCTCAGAAGGATATTAAACATCTGGTGGAAAGACAAAGTCAACAATGTGGACCTGTGGAAAAGAACAAGCCAAGACCCCATAGACTTACAAATCCGAAAGAGAAAGTGGAGTTGGATTGGCCACACCCTCAGAAAACCTGCCACAAACATCACCCGACAAGCCCTGTTTCCCCCAGGGGAAAAGGAAAAGAGGTCGCCCCAGGAACAGCTGGAGAAGAAGTGTAGAGGCAGAAATGTCAGAGAGTGGTCTCAACTGGGGAGAGCTTGAGCAAAAAGCCACAAACAGAGTGAAATGGAGGATATTCGTCAGCGGCCTATGCACCCAAGAGGAGCAAAAGGCTTAAATTAGGGTTAGAAAATGGGCTTCCATAGAATCTGGCTCGATGGTGTTCACAGATTATTAAACATCATACTGTTCATTGCATTGAATACTTTAACTGTCATATTAAAATGGTATTTTGGTGTTAGAAGGCTACATGCCCATAGAAATGGAGTCATTATGTTTGTATATTGCATTTTACACAAGGTGGACCTCTGAAACCTGGAGCTGGTTTCCCATCATTCTCTGGCATTGCTCGCCTCACCTGTTTGGTTGAGTGGTTTGGTGAGCTGTCAGTTACCGCAGCCACCATGGACCACCATTCTGATAGAAACTACAGTAAAATGACTGCTACGCTTCTTACTGTTGACAACAGGTGAGAAAGGATCAGCATGCATTTCTTCCAGTGTGGCTATACCTATTGACAAAAAAAAAACAGAATCCACTTAAGATGTTGGTTCAACCTTAATATCTGACCTTTTAACGTTCTGTCTGTCCCTTCATTTTGTTCTTGAATGCTGGTGGGGGGAAGGTGCAATAGGGAGGGCAGAGACTTGTTCAAAAAGTTAAATGATACAGATTTTGAAATCCACTTTTTTCTATCCAGAATAAGATAATAAATCTTACTTTCGTCCTGTTTTTTTACAACCCTATCACTACATTGTTTAATTTGTGGCTTTAGCAAGGACACAGTATACAAATATTAAAAAGTAAATACATCATTATAAAAATGGTTTGACCAATTTAAACATTTTCTAAGAGTTGTTCCTGTAATCCAGAATCCAGCTCTCCGTTGGGATCAGTGTAATCTTGGGTTTTGGATCAACATTATCCCAATGCAAAAGTTGGAAACAACATCAAGAAAGACAAGACAGGATTGGATTATCTGATCATTATTTATTTTTTCTTTTGAACAACCCAATTTCTAGATTTCATTCTATTTGATAGCTTTAGTCTGCTCAGATTGCTTTTGTACACCTGCGCCCATGATAGTTAAGGAACCACACACAAGTGACTTTGCGAGGACAGTTTTAAAATATAATAGACCTCTAATTAATATCTCTGTCCTTACAGACCTTTGACATGGATTGAGGAACGGGGACCAAACCTGCAAAGGGCCAAGCACATCAATTTTCAATTCGACACCTGCACTCTTACTCAGATCCCTCCCACACCCAGAGGGGCTGTGGGCCTCTTCATGCAGGATTTAACCTACTTCTCTGCCAAGCTAACGGGTCAAGTGAGCCAGGAGGAGCTTCAGAGGGAAAAACAACGAGTCCTACACTGTCTGAAACTGGCAGAGACAATACAACAATGTTGCCAAGGTTAAATGGATAATCTTGAATTATGAAATCAAAATAGTGATTGTAGACTTTAGACTCTTTATTGTCATTCAAATTGTACTTTACAGTGCAGATAAGAACAACATTTCTTCGCAGTTTGCTCGAAATAGTGCAGAATAAAAAAAAACAGCAGCAAGTATTTACATAAGAATAAGGTGCAGACATAAATAGGTATAAAAAGGACTATGTATAAAATTGCTATAAAAGGTATTAAATATATTGCACGTGTACTGTTATATTATATTGCACAGTCCAGTGAGGTAGTCCTGTGTGGGGATTTGAGGGGGGATGGAGGGCTTATTATTTTTCCTGTGGGAAGAAGCTGTTGCAGAACCTGGTTGTTCTGCTTCGAAGGCTGCGGAACCTCTTTCCAGAGTCCAGCAGTGAGAACAGTTCATTGTGGGGTGGGAGGTGTCATTTCTGAGCCCTGGATAGGCAGCGTTTTTTAGCGATCTCCTGGATGGGAGGGAGTGAAGTCCTGATGATTTTTTCTGCCGAAATTGTAAATTTTTATGTATTTTTATTTATAGTGTGTTCAACTCTAAAGTTAATGACCTGCTCTCTAACATATTTTTAATTTTTTAATTTTATTTAACCAGGTAAATTAACTCATTGAGATCGAGATCTCTTTCACAAGGTTGACCTGGCCAAGAGAGCACACGTCATAATAAATATTACACGATAAAGAAACAGTTTACAAACAACAAACAATTACAACGTTCAAATTAGTTTACAGATAAAGTGCAGAGTCGTGACCGCGGATTATAATTCACAAACACAGGCACTGTCCATGGTCTTGCGTATTTTATCTTTTAAGATCCAAAGGCTTGAAGTGAAATGAGATCTGCCATTTTCAAGTCATTTTGGAGAAAGTTCCATGCGGAGGGAGCAGCAAAACTGAACGCTCTTTTCCCGAACTCAGTGCGAAAATGAGGAACAGACAGTTTAAAAACATCACAGGAATGCACTATGGCATAGTGGCTTCTGGTTCTTTGGAGGTATGAACATAAATAAGAAGGAACCAAACCAAGAAGTGTGTACCTTCAAGGACGGCCAATCAGATTTAGTGTACAGGTCACATCAACAGGGCAGCTGTGGCTCAGTTGGTAGAGTTGTCGCCTCTCAACCGGAAGGTCGAGGGTTCCATCCCCAGCTGAGCAACATGTCCAATGTGTCCTTGGGCAAGACACTGAATTGCTCCCACTGTGGTGTATGAATGGGATTAGTTACTTCTGATCCTACATAGAGATCACTACCATCAGTGAGTGAAAGGGTATGACTGGGTGGGTGTGACAGGTAGTGTAAAAGTGCTTTGAGTTGTCAGAAGACTAGAAAAGCACAATATAAGCTCAAGTCCATTTACCATTTACAACCAGTGACACTGTAAACAATAGGCTGAGGCCCCATATACCCATTACCCATCCCTCTGGCATAGGTCAATTGAAGACATTTCCTTCATCTGGCTGTGTGCACATGGCATTAAGTCTTCATTTTATTATTGAAACAAACAACCAAATTAATTTAGCTATAAACTATTCAGAGATTGTTTTTTTTTACAGATGTTGGTTCCCACTCCTCTTAAAGGAGTCTGCCTATTACCTCTTTGTAAGGCATATGGTATATCTGCTGTGTTCTCCATGATTAGGACCAGAGAAAGTATTTAATGCTGTTCATCTCTCCCTCTGAAAAGTACAATGAAACATTAACGTGTTCATTTCTCACATATTAGACTAAAACTACATGTATCAGTAAGATGAAGTGGTGCCTGAGACAAAAGTTACACATGCCACCAAATGACACACTGTGTCCAAGTGTGAAGCTCAAAGCTTTGAATCCTTTTCGAGCACAACTAGAAATATGCTCCCGAGCTTCATAATTCTGACACTTGTATACGTAAACCTTATTGTAAACCAGTCTTGAACATTTCTCACCATTCTGACATTTTCAGTGTTCTTCAAAACAATTTCATATCTTGGATTTTTTGTTGTTGCTTCAGCTCCATGGTAAACCGTTCAAGTCACACGTGTTTTTTTCCAGTTGTTTGCTTACCAGCAGGTGAAAATTAAACACATTTTTGCCTCTACAATATTTTTTTTCATTTTTTGCAAAATACATCAAAATTACATTTGAATTTTCCTCGGGATCAATAAAGTATCTATTTATTTTGATTAAGCCTACCCTGTAGAAATCATAACAAAGAAAGGAATATGCACTGCACTGAGGACACTTACAAAAAATCAGCAAAGTTAAAGAGATTTTAGCTCTGCACTGTACTGCTGCGTCCACGAACCAGAGGAGTCGTCACAGAGATTTCTTCAAACAGCTCAAAATGTTACGCTAACATTCACACATAACAAACTATATGCAGTCAATTTATCTTCAAACTGAACCATTATTTAATATGATCTATGTTTACAATAATTCAAGAGAATGTGGCCACAATTCACTCTCCAAATGAAGTGAATTATGGATAGAAATGAATCAGATTCAGATGGATAGCATCTCAAATGGTAAATAATGTAACTCCATTTATGCAGAATGAAAAAGGCATCTCTTTGATGTGGGCAGAGGTGTTTTTTCCCATGTTCACGTTGCCCTGTTGGTCTTGTAAATGATTGGCTGTTCCACTGTTGGTGTGTTTTTCTGCCTTTAGACACTTCTTCAGTTGTGTTATTTGTGTACATTGAGGTGTCGAATCTCGTCCACTCGGTTGCGGTGCAGCTGAAAGGCAGGAGTAACCCAGCAACCACACGAACACCGATCTCCACACCAGCTGAATGAGCCTAGCTTAGAGCTACACTTAGGACACAGGAGCTACAAACAAAAAAATACACAAACCCAAACATGGTTAACACCCACAATGACAGAAACACAATGATACCATAAGATATCAGAGATGAGGGAGAACTGGCTTTAAATGAAAGCTTAACCACATGAAAATGTTCAAATTAGTGAACTTTAAAGTAGTTCAACTCACTGTGAAAACATCCCTTCAGTATGTCATGTCCTTTAATAATACTTGTTCTGTGTAGTTAATGCCATACCTGTCCATCCATCACTCCAAGCAACACTTTTTCCATCCACTGCACTGGTTCAATGAAGTAAGACGTACACTGGATGTCTCCTTGACAAGAAAACATTTAAAGTCATTATAATAAGAAACATGAAACTAGAAGAAAGTGCTCTCCTTTTATAGAAGGTGATTTACTCCAGTAAGTGCATGAGCTCAATTGAAGATGTTTTGGTTCTCTTCATACTGGTTTATTGTTGTTGATGTTGAAATGGTGTCTATGGCTACTCCTCATGTCTCTTATTTTTCGTTTCCTCTCTCCTCTCTCCTCGCTTGAACTAGAAGTCATTCCGTGCCGCCATGTTGAAGGACGCCTCAAGTCGCTTATTTCGGCAGCGAGGAGCGAGGGAATAACCCTGAGGAGCTATGATCGAGGAAACATGAGAGCATCTTTCCAGAAAGTCTTTTTACTGACAGACACGCCCCCCTTATCGAATATCACTCATTGATTGGACGCTGCAGCAGATCAGACTTCAATGAAACTTAGCAACATCAGCAGTGTTTTTAGAACGGAGAAAAGACGGACACAGCAGACTTTTAAACAGACTGGAAACATCTGTCAGTTTGTAAAGAATCTGTGATGAGCTGGAGTTAAAATAGTGTTTAACATGAAGATTAACAACCAAATATGAAGTATAAGTTCTCTAAAAATTTATGTGAGAGTGTTGGTCGATCACTCCCGGTTTTTATATTTGATTTGTTTTTTTGATTCACCATCAAACAAAAAGTCTGTTCATTTAAATGTTCAAACCAAAAGATCATAAACGACTCCTTCATTATTAGAACAGCTGATAACAGTTAGAAACATGTTTTACATTCATCATGACCGTTAATGATCGTATGGTTTGAAAATGTCATGCATCCTGTTTTGGTGAGATTTTGATCCTTCCAAAACATTTTCAATAATCCTGATACATCCTTAGTGTTTTCTAAAATACAGAGTTCACTCTCAGATTATCAGTAAAAACAAATAATGAAATATGAAAGCTTTGAGCCTGTAGAAATGGTGGTTAGTGTTTTTATTAGCAGACTGCAGGTTGTTCTTCATGTGCAGGTGTTTGTTATCAGCTAACATAAAGAGACTAAACACTGTTACTGTGTATTTGATTAGAATTAACACAGTGTGTATTTATGGGGACATAAACAGCTGCTAAAGCTGACTGACAGCTGAACGTGATCAGCTGTCATCATCAAAGCTGTCATCATCAAAAACCATATGTGTTTTCCGGTACTAGTTTTGGAGACATTGGATCTGATTTGATGGTAAATGATTACACTGACATCCTTTGGCTGTTCTGTCTCATCTCTTTGTGATTCGCAGACTTTCTTGATGCACATTTACATCATATCATGTTCAGAATACAACATTGTTCATCTCTGACCTTTAAAAGATCACCGTCTAGAAATGCTCCTTTTTCAAAGTCTGAGAAAACTATTGTTATGATTTAGCTCTATCTAAATAAAAATGTTGATGATTGATTGACTGAGTGGTTGTTCGGTTTATTACCAGTGTCGTTAGTGATCTTCTTGTGACCAAAGGCTTGCACTCCTCCTCCTACAGAGTGACTGAGAATACTGGAGCTGCGGAACAGAGCACGTCTGCAGGGGAGACAGAGGAAGCACAGAGATGCAGTCAGGATTATCTTTTCCCCTATTCTTTTGTTTGAATAGATTCTAGAAAACAATTAATCAACAGGTGATGTCGACATAAAAAGGAAGAATTAGAGGAAAACAGCAGCTTGATGCTATTTCAGTGTCTTTGTTATAATACAGAATCCCAGCTAAACATTCTTCTTTTAATCCTAATAGAATCCCCAGTACTTATTCTCATGTTTATATCATGTTTTAGCATGCATATGGAAAAAACCCTGTAAATGGGGTTCCCAAAATCTGGAAAATAGTTTTCAAATATTGAAACTTGATTTGGAAAAGCAAATCTTTATGTTGAAACTTTTGACTTTTAAAAGTTGAAGGGTGCTCTTAAAGTTGACAACATCTTTCACACTAGAGTGTAATTATGGGTATTGCACAAAATGCTGAATTATTAAAAACAGCCACGTAATAATAGTGTGACTGATGTGCAATGGACAAAGCCAACATCATGATAAACTCCCATACTGGTTGCATTATTTTATATATTTTTTTAAAAAATAGTGTAATTATGAATATACAATGCTCAAATGACTTGATATTTGCCCACAAACCTTTGAAAATATTTGCCAACTAAATGAGTGTGTTTTGAAAGGCCTTGTGTTTATTTTGATAAAATGAAAAAAACATTTTTGTTAATTACACCACAGTTGTCTCTACAATCATCTGGAAATACCTGCAATTGGCTGAACACTGTAAACATCAGCACCTAACATCTATTATCATCCTTACAAATATGGAGCTGCTCAGCTTTTAGTAATATAATTAGCATGATCAGTCTCCTCATTTCATCGTCATTACTATTATATGAAGTATTAGATTGATCAGTCTATTATATTACACATTATTGTTGTTGATAATGTGTCTATAGCTGTCATTATTATTTTTTCCTAAAGTGACTTGAGATAAAGGTTGTTATGCGATGGTGCCATATGAATAATGATTGATTGATATACCTGCATTTCCTACAACGGTAAGACACTTCAGAGGAGCTGGAGGTGGCGGGGTCAAGAGCAAAAAGGTCTTTGGGAGCAAACTGCAACCCTACACACACACACACACACACACGCACGCACACGCACACGCACACACACACACGTTAGCTTAGACACTGATTTGTATAAACAATGCTGTGTGTGGTGTGTGTTTTGTTACCAGGGTATTTCTCAGCGATCTTGGTCAGTCTGTACTGTTTGTAAAGAGGACTAGAGGTGTCCACTTCACAGTCCATGGCTTCATACAGACACAACTGCTGCTCAAAACCACTGTTGACCCTGAAAAATAAAAAGGTTAACTATCCTTTCATTCTACCCAATATGGACTCCAAGAGCAGAACTTATGTATGAAGATTCAAAGTGTTGGTCCAAAAACCAGTAAAGATTAAAGACTACACAAATGAGGCATTCACTCCTGAAGAAGTGAAGACACAGGTATACAGGAACTTACTGTACATCGTGTTTAACACTCTTCAGTCTGTGGTAAGCCTCATTGAAGCCAAGATGGTGTCGCTTCATTAGGTAGGCAGTACTTATGGCAGCACTGCGACTCCGACCAGCCTGGCTGACAAATATATACAGAAACAAATCATGACATCAACAATGACCGCAAGGGTTCAGCGCCAAATTTAATCAGTTCATCTATAAAAATGTTTATACAATAAGGGCTGTAGCGGTGAAGGACTTCTTCTGTGGTGATTCAGGGTAAACATTTATTAAGCACATTTTTGTTTCTTTTATTCAAACAAACTCTTGTTTACAGAAATGCCCATTACACAATACAAGCCCGTTACAGTGTGCGAGCAGTGCTGCAGACACCAGATTCACCTTCTTTTTAACAACCTGTCCAGTACCAATTAGCCACAGAATACATAACGACAAGCTTAGTTCTTACTTAATGTGACAAGTCAGACGGAGCAGCTCTGTTTTATCTTTCAATATATTGTTTCTATTGTTTTTACTCACGCCTGGTTGTAATGCGGCTAAGTGGAAGAATATCTATGAATGGCTGTGATTTTCCTTCAAATGCATATAACTAATCTTTGCAGTTGATCCATGAAAACAAGAGATTAAAATATGTCACACTAATAATGACCAGTTAGCATTTTTGACATTTTATTTCTGATGTATATGTTTGTTGGATACATATTGAAGCAACTGTCAGCAATGGATACTTGATACAGCAATAACAATGCCTAATGATGCCACTGAATGAATCAGATGAAGTAGAAACAAATATCGGCCTCCTGAACAGTAGGTCCTAAAAGTATACAGCACGGAGAGAAGGGACTGTCTACTGTCAGATTTTGTAGGCACTTTGCAATACGGATGCACCCACTGACCTCTGCCTGTGTTAGTCAAAGAATATAACCTAACAGACCAACTATAAGCAAGGCAAAATATCTCTCTTCAAGTTGTGTTTATCAATGAATTAGGAGCAGAAAAATAACACTGCATTTTTTTCAACTAGTTGCTTTTTTATGTCAGTACTCTAGAAAAACCACATTGATGATAACAACTGAAAGAAGAAAGCCGAGTAGGAAAAAAACACATTCTTGTTGGTCTCTGATGCTTACCAGTGAACAAGTGCAGCCCCACCTCCATCCACTGCCATCTGGATGAAAGAGAAGCAGTCATCCATGTGACTTAGGAGGTCGGAGGTTACTTCATCAAGAACATTCACCCATTTCTTGCAGAAGGTCCTATCAGCAGGAAGTGAAGGGGCAGAGTCCACAGAGTCCACAGACAGGATATGAGTGATAGCTGTGTCGGTCAATTCCTGGCTATCATTCAGGTCAGCTGCAGTGCCGATATACAGACCTGGATCCACCAGAAGCATGACTGGAGAGGAGCGACAGACACACAGCTGATCTTTGCACAAACTACATTTTTTTAAATTATACACACATTAAATGTACGTGGCCCTGAATTCAGGCTCTGAATATTTGACACTGGATTATCAAACATTTGAAACTGACAATTCTTACTTCTATGTCCTTAAATATTTACTGCCATTAATGGCCTTGAATAGAAAATCTACACATTTTAGTGAGGGGTGTTGACTTTAAAGATGCTCCATATCTTCCAATAGTCAATTGTGTCAATACATATCACACTTCGTAGCTAAATGTAGCTATATTTATATGGCGAGGTGAGTTTAGGAACTGGTTATCAAAAGAAGTAATAAAAGTTAATACGTTTTTCATTTTGTTTGATCGTAAACACGACAGGACAAGTGTACTTGTTCATTAGCATGTTGATATGTTCCCACACGATGACCACGAGGTTAAGAGGGTTAACTCACCTTCTCTCAGCCTTCCAGATGTTCAAAGCTCTCCCACTGGAAGTCCGGACTTTGCTCTTTAACTTGTGATTAACTCGGTGGGGAATAAATGATCCAAACATCAAATGATACAGTGTTAAACATTTGTTAAAACGATGTCGTTTGTAGGGCAGTAGTAGCCTTACTTCTTCTTTGACTTTATTTGCTGACTACAAGCAGCCGTGAAAAGGTGCATGCCGCCGCCTACTGGCAGAGCCTCACCTGTCATCATCAAAAGTAAAAAAACAAATAATGATTAAATAAAATAAATATATATATCATTCTACTGATCTGTGTTATAAGTGTTATTTCTGTACGATTCCAAAAATGTCAATCATTTTCATGATCAAAATCGCTGAATTCGTATATTTCCGGCCGGAGACATGCGAGGTGAGGCAGAGACGAGTTGGAGGATATGTAGCAGCTTGGTCCGTCTGATTTCTCCTCTTTTTTTTACTGAGTTTGGAGAGTTTGTTTAACACATATCTGACAACATACATGGATTGCTGTGCGGTTAACAGACCATCCAAGAAGTTGATGCTTCAGTTTTTTTCGGTAAGTGATATAGTAGTGTTAAATTTACTGTATACTCATGTGTCGGTATTTATATTTACGGACCTAGCTTGTTTAGCGTTAGCTTGTAAACCAGTCGGCTAACTGTACTCAGTGTAGCCCATTATTTACGGTCAATGGTTTAGCCGATCAAGACACCCATTCATGCCAAAGAAGCTAATGGCAACATAGCCAGCCAGGACTATTAAATTGGGGGAAAATGTAATTCTGAAGTGTTAGAAATTTTAGTTGGTAAGATGTTGTAAGACAGAGTTTGTGTGATGTTAGAAGCTATAAAGGTTCACCTCGGTGGTTAACCGCAGACTGTAAATATGGTTACCTGACGTTATGATGAATGTTATACTCCACGTAAATGTCGACATTAAAAGACAAACTTTGTGTATAAGTTCAACATTAATCAGACGATACCCGCTGGTTAAACATGTTATAGAGGATGATATTAACGTTACATGGTTGACGTTCATTTCGACGGCCCACAAACTCAAACTTCAACATTTTCTCTCATTATTATAACATAAACAGGCGATAACAAGTACAAAACTAAAGATGTCGACAGAGATCAGCTATATGTTGAAGCTTGAACAGAAAAATTAGATTTGTGCAAACGGTTACCAAATTAATTTTTTTTGTCTCTTTGTATGAGTTCAGGGAAAATTAACATGGTTATTAACATAGTTCTTAATTGTTACAGATGCTCTTACAAAGAATATAGCAGTAGAAATATAAAATATAAATAACATATGGAATGAAAATAAGATATAAAGCAATTAGTACAAGAAATAGTTTGAAGAATACAGCCATGTACCGAGCTCATGTTAATAATAAATGAGCTACTCTATGTTCTGTACTAAAGCACAGAGAGTTGGGACCTACAATTCACTTAGCAGACGCTTTTATCCGAAGCGACGTACATCAGAGAGTAAGCACAACACAAGCAAG